ACTTTAAATTAACACCAATTTTTTATACTATTTATTTAAAGTGTTCTCACTAAGACTGATACATATGGATGGCAATGCCATCAAAATCAATACGAGTTGGTATATTATTACAACTTTCATCTACAATAATAACAGCGCAAGAGTAATTTTGGAAGTTCGAATAAATGAAAGGATGTTTGTGTGTCCTTTTTGAGGTTTAGTGAAGAAAATAAAGGAGTTCTCCGTAGAGTAGGTAATCAAGGGGAGTCTATACATGAGAGTGGTTTCATGAGAAATACACGAAGGGTTATGGCTTCTCCAAGTCCACCAGATTCTCGCATGTAAGAGATTATGATAGCTACCTTGTATCATGTTTTTTACACAAACATTTCAATCCATGATCAAGAATTTTTTTGAATGATTAAACCCAAAATACAACAAGATTTTTAGAGTTCATACAATCACGAACACAATGAAGTAAACTCTCTTTTTCTATGACAAATCTAAAACATGTACTCAAAGGGTCGTGTTTCAATGGTAAAGTAGAAAGTGAGTAGGAACATAGTTGTGACAAGCAAGATAGATGAACTTTATCTTTTCTAAAGGTATAATTTCCATATCAAAATCTTGGTTTGAGGTTCCAAGTTAGGATCATATAAATCTTATTTGTTGCGAAAGATCCAATAATAGTCACTCATAGTAGTGTAAGTATCATTTATCTAATCATATCATATAAAGACATCTTATGTAATGAGGTTGGAAGATAGCATTTTGGTGGTGAGTTTAGTGGTGAAGTGACGAGGGAGTTAAGTATACAATTGATGGATATGGGGTGGTGTTCTAGAGTAAAATATTTAACTATTAGATTAAAATCTTATATGTGAACATAATCAACAAGAGTTGATGTATGTACAAAAGTATTCTAGTGGTTGTACCAAACGAGGAGTCTGATTTAGGACTACAACTAAACCAATCTTTTAATATGTTTTTCACTCTGATAATGGAGTTCAAAGTTGATGAACTTTAGTGAAATAAATGGAGAGTAAATGGGCACCAGCAAAACACTTATGAGAGAGTAGACATACCCAAAGTATATCAGTATTTTAAAGCATATTCCAAACAAGCTTTTTGAGGAGGGGTGTGTTGGCATCTCTAGTTAATCGAACCCCTAAGTCATCCAAATTCATTAGGCGAGTAATTTTTTTTTCAACCGACCAAATGATTGGTGGTAGTACCCTTCCAAATAAAGTTTTAATTCATATGATCAATTAGATCATAAATGTTTTGAGGGAGCCATGTGATTTGCATGAAGTGAAGGGGCTTGGAAATGAGAGCCGAAGTAGCAAGAGTTAATATATCAGTGTTGTATAGAAACTCGTTTTTCTAGGAATCTATACAAGTTTTCATTTTTCCAACATGAAATTAAAATCTGATCTTTTAGCTCTACCTCTAAGAATAGGAAAGTCGAAGTATTTATTCATATAAGTAATACTACAAATGTCTAATATAAAAGTTAGTTCATTGATTTTAGTTTGAGGAATTATAGAAGAATAAAAGCATGAGACTTGGAAAGATTGTTCTTCAACCCTGATGAACAACTAAAATTATCCAAAAGGGTTGTAATAGCTCTAATTTGAAACTTTTTGTCTTTGCAAATAGAAGAACTTCGTATGAAAACAAGATATGAGACATGTGAGTTCTATTGATAGAAATGAAAATAGGACACTAAGAACCACTATAGACAATGTTGGTGATGAAAACATAAAGTTTCTCCATGTAGATGATGAATAAGTAATGCAATAATGGATTTCCTTTTCCGAAGACGTGTGAAGGTTTGACAACTGAAATTTTATTCGCATTCAATAAAATAGACAAGTACGTGGAAGTGATAAAATGCATAACGAGCATAATGGTTAGCTAAGGAAAACCAACATCCAGCAAACAACTTTTGAGGAAATCCCAATTAACATTGTCGAAGGCATTTTCGAGATCCGATTTGAAGGAAACATCAATTTTTTTCTTCTTTATTTTTAGCATTTGGTAAATTATTTCTTACAAAATAATAGCATTGTCAGTGGTGCCCTTACTTGACAGGAAACTTCTTAGGTATGAGCCAATAAGAGTGTCAAAAAGAATTTGAAGATGGTTAATCAAAAACTTACTAATAATCTTATATACTATGTTACAAAGGCTTATTAGTCTCAATTCTTTAAAAGTTCTTGGAGTGTCAACTTTGAGAATGAGGGATGTTAAAATTTTAGAGATGGGTGGATCAAAATGATTCGTGGAGAAAGCTGTTTTAACCATGTTGAAAACATCATCACCTATAATGTGTCAATATTGTTTAAATAAAATGCATTGAAATCTATCTGGACAAAGGATTTTGAAAGGCTTCATAGAACTTATGGCGCATGTGACTTATCCATTTTATCTGCAAAGTACAAGCACAAGTGTAAAAAAAATCAAGGACTTTGCCCTCTTCAAAGATTTCTTTCCTATTCGTGAAACCGGTTGCACTCATAATAGCACGAGTGTCAATAGATTTCTTCCTTTACAAGGAAGACGACACTTTAACAGGATCAAACCCTTCTTCATAATCAAGTCTCTAGTATAAAGATTCTAAATTCTCCTTCGTCATAACTTCTTAAGTTGAATGATAATTAATTTGATATTGTAAGATGAGGCTCAGTGAAAATGGAGGCAAGATCGATATTTCATGAATTTGATGTTGTAAGAATGAAGCTCAATGAAAATGGAGCCAATATTGATATTTCATAAATTTGCTCGTGCAATAATGAGAAGACTCGATTAGACTAGAGCAGAAGATAAAATGAGTCTTCAGAACAATTTATTATAAAACTGACTTTTAAATAAATTTTTAAATTTAGACACACTTTTAAAAAGGTCACGTCAGGAAAAAAAACTCATAATAAATTATAAATAAAATTCACATTTTAAAATTTATCGTAAGTCAAATTCGAACCTTTTATTCCTATCTATAATGACCATGTAATAATTCATCATATCCGTGGAAATTTTGATTACTTTTTCTGCAGTGGATTTAATTTGTGTGAGAAATCAGAAGAAAAAACCAACAATAGAAACTTGTACGTGAATTTGTAAATTCCATTGCATGGTACAAGGGTGACTTTTTTGGCATGCGGTATTTGCCCGCTTGTTTTGAAAAATACTATGATTCGAGTTACTTCTAGCTTGACATGGAAACCACGTATGCAAATTATCCTCAAATTTTAATGTTTCTTCACCTAAAACTCAAAGTTGTAGTCAAAGTCTAATTTTACTTTCTTTCTAATTTTAATGTTTCTTCACCTAAAACTCAAAGTATTACACGTATGGAAACCAAGTATTACACGTATGCAAATTATCCTCAAACTAGTATAAAAAAATTTAAATGCGTTAAGATTTTACTTTCTTTCTAATTTTACTTATATTTTTTATCTTGAAAATCGTTAAAAATATATAGTAAAAAAATAGAAGTATATTTAGAATGATGATATTAAATATAATAATTAAAAGTGACTTTTACTTATATTTAAGATCAATGAAGTTTTTTTATTGCTTATATTTAAGACTGACTGAAGAAAGAATAATTTAATGATAATAAATATTTTAAGAAATTTAAATTTAATAGGTGTATATATCAAATCTGACCGATTGATCTAAATCAATATAAAATCAGGTTGGGTTGATTTATTAGGTGCGCATGATTTTCAATTTTTTTTTTTTAAAAAGTTCAAAACAATTAAGTTTCAGGTAAATCTAGATCCAATCCATAAAACTTACTCAATCCACATATTGTATCACTTAACCAATGTACTCTATATGGTCCGGATCTTGTTTAGGGAGTTCGATGCCATATGGGACTTTTAAATGACGTGTCATTGCCTCCATCTAGTATGACTGACCAACAATGACTACATGTGGTAAGACTTCTTTCAGATAACCTTAAGGGTGTCGTAAACCGAGATAGGGAGATCTATTCAGGGTTATCTCAGATAACACACATTGCTAGTGGTAGATCGACATATATTTTATCAGTTTGTTCATTATTTATTGTCGCTAGCATTATTTGGGTTTGTAATGAATTATTTGTATATTATTGACATTTTATCTTAACATTCATTATTGTGAATGAAAATAACTTAACATGAGCACCGCTTAACATAACTTAAAAAGAAAACAATTAAGCATTACTAGATGATTCATAATGTTTCAACATCTTAATAATATCGCCGACAGACCTCGCAACTGTCGCATCCACCTTGATCGAACCCTTTGTTTCATATCAATGTTATCCACATAACTCTTAAATCTTCATCTATCTTCAACTCAAAATTATTGAACTTCACATTTCCTTCATTATCAATCAATGACAAACAATGCTCGATCTTAACCACCTTTTTGTTGTTTGGATAGCGCAAGAGATTATCTAATTTGGATTTCAGAACACCAAAATGGATATCCTCTATGAACCTAAAATCAATACGAGGTTTTACGCCGTTGAAATACGCAAATACGATATACCAAAATTGAGACATTATGAAGTATTTTTGTTAAAAACATATGAGACATATTTATACAAATTTAAAACCATTACAGACAACACATAACTATTAGTACAATCACAACTCTATAAAAATGTCAGCATAATTACAACCACTAAAAAAACAGCATAAATATTTTGATACACACCAACTATTTCAGCAATTCGGTAAAAACTATATCTATTTTTTGTATGAGCTATCAAATTTTTTGTGAATGAAAGAAAATTTTAAAACATAAAATTTATAAATAAAACGAAAAGGATAATTTTGTCATTATAAAAATATACGAGAGTGCTAGATTCAATTGTGGGTGTGTATTTCTCCCAAATGCTAAAGCTAAATGGTTTACTACTTTTATATGGGCCTGACTCATGGTTCACTGCGAATGCAACGTAACCGTTTCAGATGAAGACGATAACAATCACAAATTGAAATTGATTTGGTACAAAATTGCAAATGTTGCAAACCCTAGTATCACCCGCAAGCTTTCGCTTCTCGAATCGAATATCCCTCCGAAGCTTCACCGTTCGTGCATTCACTTCCTCCACCGATTATGAAGACCAGTCTCGTGGTGGCCTCCCTCGATTCTTCTCCGAAACTCTTCCTCCTTCCAAGGTATTCTCTTCCCCAATGCTTCTTTCACAACAGCATTTCTATAAAATACTCACGAATTTGACTAATAGGTGTGTTGCTTCAATTTGAAAAAAAAATTCAGTTGATAATGCCTCTCTTTGTTGAGTGTAGAGTATACACTGTACTTGGTTTTTTTGAGCTGGGTTTTAAGAAAAAGTTATTAATTTGGGACTTGTAAAGTTAGTATTTTTAGGGCTTGCTAAGAACTCATACTTTTCTGCAAAACCGTTGCGGTTGGGTTGCCTTTTATTTATTTTTTTGGTTTGGATTGGCCAATGGTTTGAAGATAATTATTTGTTTGTTTTTGTTTCTGTTACTATTCATTCAGGGTAATGTTATTCGGGTAAAAGGAGATGAATTCTGGCACATGACAAAAGTATTGAGGTTGTCCAACAATGCTAGGTAACCATTTTTCATAATAACAGCTAGTGAGTGAAAGTATAATTATTTTGATTTTTGACAATTAATTTTGTCTTTGAAATTGGATATTTCTTTTGGCCAATTGAATAGAACAAAACTGAAACAAAACTGACTAGACTTGCTCTTAAAGTTTAGGATCCACTAATTGACTAAAACAAAACTGAAGCAATAATGATAAATAAAAAAACTTAATGCAGTCCAAAAGCAAATAATTAACACCCCTCCTTGCTTTAGGATTTGTAAACTCCAATTTTCTGCCTCAATAGCTCAAACTTGCTGACAGGAAGTGGCTTTGTGTACAAATCTGCCCATGATCTTCTGACCTGCAATAAACCAAAGTCACTTCTCCATTTTGCTGCATCTCTCTTAGAAGTAGAGCTTGATGTTAAAATGTTTAGTCTTGCCATGACACACTGGATCCTTTGAAATTGCAATTGTTGCCTGGTTGTCGATAAACACTTCTGTCTTATGATTTTGTTGGAGATGTAAGTCACATAAGATCTTTTTCAGCCACAAAACTTGATTTACGGCTGCTGTTGCTGCTATGAATTCAAATTCTGCAGTGGATTGTGCTACTGTCTCCTGCTTCTTTGTGCACCATGAAAAAACTCCTGACCCTAGACTGAAACAATATCCTGAAGTGCTCTTCATGTCATCAATGGATCAGCCCAGTCACTTTCAGAGAATCCACATAACTTGAAATTTTGACACCTCTCAAACTTGACACCATAATCAACAGTACCTTTAATGTATCTCAATACCCTTCTTGTTGCCTTTAAATGCATTTCACTAGCACAATGCATAAATCGAGAGAGAAGACTTACAGCAAACAGAATGTTCGTCTTTGTTGCAGTGAGATACATTAAACATCCAATCAAGCTCCTGTAATAGCCTTCATCAACTTTGTCAACACCATCTTCCTTGCTCAGCTTCTCCTTTTGGTTCATTGGTGTGCTAACCGCTTTGCACTCCTCCATTTGAAATTTTTTAAAGATTTCTTTAGCATATTTTTTTTGACATATGAACACATCATCCTCATTTTGTTTGATCTCAATTCCAAGAAAATAAGATATACGACCAAGATCTGTCATTTCAAAAACTTGCATCATTTCTTGTTTGAATTCTTCAACCAACCTTGTATCATCTCTGGTCACTAAAAGATCATCAACATAGAGGAAAACTATGAGAAAAAATTTTCCCTTATGTTTTACATAAAGAGTGGCCTCAGATAAGCTTTTCACAAAGCCTATGCTCAATAGGTGTTCATTTATCCTACTGTACCTAGCTCTTGGTGCTTGTTTTAATCCATAAAGAGCTTTTTTGAGTAGATAGACTTTATCTTCTTCACCATGCATAACAAATCCCTCTGGCTGCTCCACATATATCTCTTGTAAAACTCTATTTAAAAAAGCTGATTTGACATCTAACTGGAATACTTTCTAGCCTTGTTGAGCAGCCGCTGCTAACACCAATCTAATTGTATCTAATCTGGACACTGGTGCAAAAGTGTCAGAATAATCAACACCAAAAATTTGTGCATACCCTTTTACTACAAGTCTGGCCTTGTATTTATTGATAGAGCAATCCACATTAAGCTTTGTTCTGAAAACCCATTTAACTCCAATAACTTTTCTATCTTGAGGCTTGTCAACCAGCTCCCATGTGTTGTTTTTTTGAATCATCGAAATCTCATCTTCCATTGCCTTTTTCCATTTTGGATCCTTGAGTGCTTCCTCACAACAACTAGGTTCACATACTACATTGCATCTTTGATAAATGTCTGACAACAGCCTTGTGCCTCTAATAGGAGGGTCATCTTCTAATTCATTCTGACACAACTCTGTTGTTTGGTTTTCGCCATAATCATCTTCAATATTGTTAAAAAATCCTATTGTTTTTTGTGGGTTCTTCCAATTCCATCGTTGATCTTCATTGAAATGCACATCTCTAGTAACAGTCAACTTTCCAGTTTGAGAATGATATACTTTGTAGGCTTTTGAAACAAAACTATAACCCACAAAAATACTCGGAATTGCTTTCTTGTCAAGCTTGTCGCGCTTAACCTGTGGAACATGTGCAAAACAAACACAACCAAACACTTTAAGAAAGGTTAGTGAAGGCTTATATCCATATCAAGCCTCAAAAGGAGTTTTGTCTTTCAAAGCCTTGGATGGAAGTCGATTTTGAAGAAAAACGGCTGTGTTTGCCTCTTCGGCCCAAAATTCTTTAGGCAATTCCTTCTCATGCAGCATGCATCTGGTCATCTCCATTACTGATCTATTTCTCCTTTCACTAACTCCATTTTGCTCTGGAGTGTATGGGGTTGTGAGTTGATGTACAATACCAGCTTCATCACAAAATAAATTAAATTGTGTTCAGGTGTACTCCTTCCCATTATCTGATCTTAGAAATTGTATCTTGCAACCACTTTGAGTTTCCACCATATTCTTGAACTTTCCAAAGACTCCAGCCACTTCATGCTTGAATTTCAAGATAAAAATCCAGCACATTCTTGTAAAATCATCTATGAAAAGAATAAAGTATAGACGACCTTGTAACGATGGAGTTCTTTGAGGTCCTGCCACATCAGTGTGAATGAGTTGCAACTTTTCAGAGGCTCCAAACTGTTTTGGGAAATGACACTCTGTTTTGTTTACCAAATTGACAGGCATTACAATTTGGCAAATGATCAGAAAGTACTGGTAGACCTTCAATCATATCTTTCCTCTTCATGTTCAGCATCCTTTGAATATGACAGTGACCAAGTCGCTTATGCCAGAGTTTAGTGGCACTGACTTGAGTGATGTAAGCTGTCTGCTCCTCGACAATTGGATCAAATGAGAAGCTTTTACCTCTCATTTTTACCCTTAAAATCTCCCGACCGGTAGTGTCAAAGATAAAACAATGTTGATTTTCGAAAAGAACTTTAAATCCCTTTTCTAACAATTGACCCACACTAAGCAGATTTTGGTCAATGTCAGACACATACAGAACATCTGAGATTGTTTTCATACCTGAGCTAGTTGAAATTACAATGGTTCCTTTTCCTTTTGCAGAAATATAGTCACCATTCCCAATCCTGACTTTTGAGAATTTTACAGGCTTCAAATCCTTGAAGAGAGTTTTATCATATGTCATGTGGTTTGTACAACCACTATCAATCAGCCAACATTCAGAACTACTCCTTGTTGAGAAGCATGTTGCCACAAAAATTTGATCTTCTTCATCTTGCTCTACAACCTTTTGCATTGGCTTCATGTTGTTGAAATTTGCCTTTGCAAATTACAGCTTCATGTCCAATCTGATTGCACTTGTTGTACTTTGCGCCTGGTCTTCTCCAACATCTGAACGGTGGGTGACCCATTTTGCCACAATGCTCACAAGGTGGGCAATTTTTCTTTTTACCTTTGTCTTTGCTTTGGCTGCTTTGACTACTTCAAACTTCGTGATGCTTGGCTGGTAAAGCACCTTCAACCACGTGATCTTGTCTCATAAGCCTTCGCTGCTCTTGGGCCTGCAAGGCATGTAACACTCCCGCTAAGGTGATTTTGGACAGATCCTTCGTATTCTCCAAAGTAGTTATTGATGCTTCGTATCTCTCTGGCACTGTAACCAGAATTTTTTCCACAATTCTGGAATCAGTGAATTCAGTGCCGAGTAATCTAACCTTGTTCGCAATGGAAAGCAACCTCTCAGAGTATTCTTTGATTGTCTCAGAATCTTTCATTCTCTGCATCTCGAATTCCCTCATCAAGTTAAGCACTTGCATGCCTCGAATCCTCTCATCCCCTGCGTATTCTTCCTTTAAGTAGTTTCAAATTGCTTTTGGTGTATTGAGAGTCATGATTCTGGTGAAAATTATTGATGAAACACCAGTAAAGAGACATGATCTTGCCTTTGCCTTCTTGGTTTTTTTCTCCTTGTGCAATTTTATTTGAGCCATGGTAGGATTGTTCGGCAGCGGAGGAATTTCATAATCCTCTTCCACAGCTTCCCAAAGGTCCAACGCCTCCAAATAAGACTCCATTTTAACTGCCCAAAGGTCATAGTTGTCTCCATCAAAGGTGGGCGGAGCAATTTGTGAGAAACTTGCTTCACCTTCCATTTTCACAGGCCCCGTAAGAAGAAAGCTGTGATACCAATGGTTGGTTTTATTATAGCAGAGAGATTGAGAAAACGGGAATTACTGTATTTTTATTCATGACAGCCAAAACACTTATAGTGTTTACAAAAGTAAAACTAACCACCACCACATTAGAAACATGGGGTAACTGGCTAGACTTGCTCCTAAAGTTTAGGATCCACTAATTGACTAAAACAAAACTGAAATAATAATGATAAATAAAAAAACTTAATGCAGTCCAAAAGCAAATAATTAACAGCGACCTGCAAGCGCACAATCTATCGCGTAGTAATAAAGATATCGATCCTACAGGTATTGTCCATAGTTGCTCCATAGTTGCTCCTTAAGTCAATGGAAGTTAAATGTAAGATAGGTTTTGTCCATGTTTCAGTATTTCTGTCTAGCACCATGAGCTTGAAATTTTTTGTTTATGATATAAATTATGATGTTCAAGGGTACAGCTCTTCAATGGGAAAGGGGGTCTTGTAGAAGGAAGTATACAGAACATTGACCGCACTGGACTTGATTTTGTTGCATTGACTGATCCGAAGTTAGTACCTCCACAGAATTTGCAATTGCATGTATTTTCTGGTTTTGGTAAGTTTGTGTAGTGTTCTACTAAAATAAAAATTACTTATATATGATTACTTGTTTTCAACACTTGACTTTATCACTCAATTTTTCACATGTTGAGAATCTTACAGGTACTCTGAAGGGTGGCCGTGCCGACTGGCTTGTAGAGAAGTGTACAGTATGTTTCAATAGCACATTGAAATTTTATCTGGTTAGATTAATGCCTCTATATGTTATGGTTGTTTTTATTCCATTCATGACTCCATAGGAACTTGGAGCCAGTAGTGTTACTCCTCTATTGACTGAACGTTCTCCGTCAATCTCAGAAAATCGGGTGGACAGACTTGATCGTGTCATTTTAGCAGCATCTAAACAATGTATTTCTTTTTCTTTTTCCATCTGAAGATATACATTTATTTTGTTCCTTTTAGAAATTTCTTTGGCCTATTTGGGCTGAAGTTAAAGTCGGGTCTAAACTGAAGGGTGGCCCATTTTGATTTTGGTCAGTGAATCTTGTACTATTGCCTCTTTTTTAGGTCAGCGACTGCATGAAATGATTCTGAAACCTCCTGTAGAGATTGGTGATATTTTGCATCTTGTAAGCTCTCCATTCTCACTACCTGGCATGAAAGTTGCCATGAATTTAAATCTCACTACCTGGCAAAAAAGTTGCCATTAATTTAAATTGTTCGAGAAGAATTTTGACAGGAATTGTAATAACCTATCAACATTTACCAGTGATATGTTTGTCATTTCCCTTTTTTTTTCCCTTGGAATTCTTTGAATTAAACGAGGGATTTGATTCCAATGGTGTTAGGTGTTAACAATTTAATATATGTGGCTACATAGCCATTATATGAATTATGCTCATAGGGTTACAACACTTATCTTCTATGATCATAACTTGACTTATTTTCTGTCACTTAGATTGCGCAATCAAAGCTATCTCTTGTTGCAACAGCAGAAGCAACTCCTGTTCTTAATGCCTTGTTGTCATTGGAAAAGGAAACTAGTGGCTTACTCATAGTCGGACCTGAAGGCGGTTAGTATACATGATAATTCCAATTTTACTTTTTTTGCTTCACCACATGTCTAGACATATGGTAATAAGTCGGGTTTAGATGTAAAGTAATTATCCTGGCAAATTCTCCCTGTTTTTATTAGGCTATAATGAAGTCGCGTGGTTGGCAAATAATTGTTGTGTTTCTAGGGAGGCAGGTATATTATCAGGCTCAGTTAAATTGACGATAGTTTATGTTGTACTGGTGTCCTGCAGATTTCACTGAGAAAGAAGTGAATATGATGATGGAAGCAGGTGCTAAAGCTGTTAGTCTCGGGCCTCATCGTCTTCGAGTTGAAACTGCCGCAATAGCACTTTTGTCTACTGTCATGCTATGGTCTGACTCTCAACAAACTTCAGTCTCTTGACTCATTTGTATATGTATGTTGGGTCAGACATGATTAGGTTCTAGAAACAATGTATATTTTGTATTACTTGTGTGTTAGGTTTAATTATTCTAAGTTCACATTGGGGATGAAGATATCATTTCTGTATTTGAGTTCAGGAATGGAGAGAGAATGCATTAAAGGTTGTTTAAGTCTTTGCCTTCTCTGATTGAGAGGATTTTCCGTGCTTTAAAACTGTGGGTCATTGTCTGTATAATAATAACACATCAAGATCTGGTTATGGAGAATACAATGAAAGAGGTTTTTAATGGATCATCTGATAGTCCTTTATTTTCAGAGTCCAGACCTTTTCATAGATTTTAGACCCTTTAAAAACCTCTTCCATTGCACTCTTGATAAATGGGTCTTGATCTATTATTATCACAATAAATTTAGAGATGTCCTTCCATTGTTTTAAAAGATTCCTCAAACAATAATACAAATGACTCATTTTTCATTTGCCAAAAATGAAGCCACACATGTCATGCTTTGAGGACAACGATTCACGTTAATTCATGGTGCATAAATTGTAGTAAAGTATCAAATATCTTATGAATCACATGTTTGAGTTCATCACCACGTCTAGTGTGTTTGTAAACAAAGTGACTATCGCCACCTTGCATTCGACCCTCTTTACCTCTAACCTTTTGACTCTTATCTTATTTACTATCTTTATCACAAAATCTACATATCTTCACTCTTAATGTCTAAATTACGGAAGTTTATTTTCCATCATCTTTTTTATTATAGGTGTTACCCACACCCTCTTTTTAATATTGTTATTTCTAATCTTATTTTATCTAGTTTTATCAAACATTTAACACAACATCCTTATCTCTGTTACATTTATTTTATTCTCGTGTTGATTCTTAAGCGTCCAACATTCTATCTATACAACATTGTAGGTATTACTGTAGTTTGATAAAAATTTTCCTTCAATTTGAGCAGTACCATTCAATCACATAAAATTCTTGAAGCTCTCCTCCATTTCAACCACACAATTTAATTTCGATGATTTAAATCCCCTTCTAATTCTCCGTCGTTTTGTATTACAGATTCAAAATATTTAAATTGTGTGACTTGTGGGATGATATGGTCTTCAACTTTCACTTTTAGATTAGACACGCTCGGACTTAAACTCCATATATTCCATCTTACTTATACTTAAGTGAAATCCATGCATTTCTATATCTCGTCTCGAACCTCTCAATTAAGAATTTATCATATGCAAAAAGCATGCATCTTAATACTAACTCTTGAATATATTTTGTTAGTGCATAAGAAATTAAAATAAAAAATAGGGACTTAGGATTGAACCTTAGTGAAAATTTATTGCAATGGAGAAATCGTGAGTCTATCCCCTCTATGTCCAAACAATAGTCGATACCTCTTAATGCATATTTTGGATAATATATGCAATCCTATCTTATTTCTTGTCTAGAATTTCAAATATATATATATATATATATATATATATATATATATATATATATATATATATATATATATATATATATATATATATATATATATATATATATATATATATATATATATATATATATATATATATATATATATATATATATATATATATATATATATATATATATATATATATATATATAAAAGATAGCTCCTTATTTAAATGAACCTCCATGCTTAGCATAATGTTCATACAGACATGCTATAGCTGTCTGTCCTCCAGGTATGGGTAGCCAATTCTATGCTATAACTTTGACTGAATCTATTTAAAAATTATATGTGTGTTCTACGTGGAAAAAAAAAATCATGATCCTATTTCTCGCGTAATTGAGCTTTGTGGAGAATGTTGATAATTTAGTTGATATATGAGTGAGGTTATTCTCACACAACTGCTTATAAGGTTAATGCAGTATACAGTATAATGTGGACAGTGATTAAATTTTTTGTCAAATTTGTGAGTAGAAATATATTATTTGTATATATGAATTACCATAATTTTCTAGTAAATACTAACACATAATTTTAATACAAACAAATCCTTCTTAGTATATACATACTGCTACTCCACAATCCACGCCTTTGTATATTTTATTCATGTCGTGAATCACATAAACTACCTTCTATTTATAGATATATTCTTGAATGCACGGTTGCATTATCTTATAGAACCTTTTTACGTCATTTCTTCATCAGATTTTCTAGTATTCATGACAAAAACAACAACCAAGAAAAGCAAGCTTAAGCACTTCCTATTAGGCCCAGTAAGAGTCCTCAAGAAAGCAAGACAATTTTACATGAAAAGTGTTATCGAATGCGCTGGAGGCTATGGTTTTGGAGCTGTCAATCACATTCCACACTTGCCTAAGTCCATCATCGTCAATGTCGATGAAGGGGAAGATATTGTAACGAAGCAAAACCTATCGGTTTTGAGGTGTAAGAACAATGCTGAGGTGAGAAAGATGGGGAAGATCGACGAGGATCAACCTTGTTGTTTTGAAAACAAGCAAATTAGTTTGAAAAACAATGTTTTGGATTTGTTTCCAATGAAGAGGACTAGTGTTGTAAAAAATGTGACTGTGGATCATGAGTTGTGTTGAGGTTTGTTTTACTTTGTTTACCAGAAAAAGTTATTTGTTCTACTTACTTTAAATCATAAATAATTGTTTTAATAATTGTTTTAATTTTTGGGTTAAGTGTTAAATTTATTGATTTCTATTTTACGTCTCTTAATATATCTAATTTGTGTAGACTTACGGGTTTATATGGCCACCTTAGCGATATAATAATGAGCACCTTAACTTTGATATGAAAAATAAATATTATATGGAAAATATATATAATGACAGTTATACGGTCGTTGTTAGATAGCGTGTGATTATATATATTGTAGTTTTCACAACGAGCATGTAACTGTGATTATAAACTAGATAATGTGTTATTTATCACAACGATTATATTAAACTGTCATTGCGATATATATTTGGGTCATGGATTCGAAACCCAGCCGCAAGAACAATTTATTTAGAATATAATTAACATTTTACCATGATTACTGAAGATAATCGTTGTAAAAAGTACCCTGAGTTTATTATAAAATATGTAGATTGTTTGTTTTGTAAGCGGAAATATTCATGGATATTATATGAGATTAAAACATCAATACTTACTTGTTGAAGTCATGATTCGGAATTCTGAATGGATGAATGACCGGATCTTCCTCTATATCTCACACTCCCGTTCACAACTTTCAATGGGGAAAGTTATGGAGCCGTCAGTTATGTTTCTGATTCTTTTTGTGATTACAGAGGGGACCTAGCCACATAATATATATAACCCTAGTCCCTACCCATTATGGGCCCAAGGTTAAAGCCCACACTTTTACCCACACCAATCAGGTTTCAGATACTCAGCCATTAGATAAAATTGATCACTTAATTAATTAAAGGGCTTATATATGCACCCCCATCAGAATCACGATTAACCCGTTTTTCACAAACTAAACCACAATTGATTGTAGTCCATAAAAAGTTAGATAAATATAACATTCTCCCACTTGGACAAAATCAATTGTATTATATTTATATTTAAAATACATTTTGAAAACGACTCTCGGGTTAATGACTAATTCCTTAAAATGCGGCCGCATTTTAAGGAAATCCATGATTCCAAGTGCAGTATCTGAATATGACTCCATCCAACAAAAGTTAAGCAGTATTGAATCACGACGATTATTATGTCCTTCATTGAGATAAAACCTTTCGTGGTTACAAATACTACATACTCCGTCAACTAGTCATCAGTGTGGAGTGTGGCAAGAAAATAACATGCTAACGTGATCCAACAACCATTTGCTATTTTCTTCGTCAGTCCTTAACAATTTCTCTCCAATGCATTAAACACAAAGAAATTGTATGGTTTTACAAACCATAATGCCTTAGCTCCAATATGGCGTCGACCACCGACATAGTGGTCCTGACAACGCCGAGCTTAAAATCATACTTCAGCTCCAATATGGCATCAACCACCGGTATAGTGGTCTCGAAGACACCGAGCTCAAAATAATAACCATGCCTTGAACTCCAAACTAGTGTCGACCATAGGCACAATGGTTTCGATGACACTGAGTCCAAAATTTAGAAATTTACATGTAAATAAACAATGATAAATAATAACAATAATAATAATCATTGTAATATCAATTTCTTAAAATAGAAAGTACTTGGCAATCCAACACTTAAAGTGTCTAAAATAAAATATAACATGATAAAAGAAAATGACATAAAGAACAAACTCCCACTAACCAAGTACATCAAAAGAACTCACAATGCCCATGTTCTCAACATGGTTTTTGAACACAATGGGCCTAAGTCCCTTAGTTAGGGGATCGGCTAGCATGAAATCAGTACCAATGTACTCAACAACAATGTCATTTTTCTTTACAAGATCTCTGACTGTCAAATACTTCAATTCCAAATGCTTAGAACCGCTAGAAGTTTTATTATTCTTGGAGTAGAACACAGCTGAACTATTATCACAGTAAAGCTTTAGTGGCTTTGCAATGGAATCAACAATACAAAGTCCAGTTACTAAATTTCTTAACCAAACAGCATGAGTGGCAGCAGCATAACAAGCAACAAACTCTGCCTGCATAGTAGAAGAGGCGACAAGAGCTTGCTTTTTACTCTTCCATGATACCGCACCTCCAGCCAACATAAAAATGTAACCAGAAGTAGATTTTCTATCATCAACACACCCAGCAAGATCAGAGTCAGTATACCCAACTATTTCCAAGTTGTCAACTCTCCTAAAAACAAGCATACATTCTTTAGTTCTTTGCAAATATCTCATCACTTTCTTAGCCGCAATCCAATGATCATTCCCAGGATTAGACTGGTATCGTCCCAAGACGCCAACTATGAAAGCAATGTCAGGCCTAGTGCATACTTGAGCATACATCAGGCTGCCCAATGCACTGTCAAAGGGTTTTCCCTTCATCTCTAGATTTGTTCTTGTTGTCTAACCAAGCTTTAAAAGCATGACAATCAGTTTTCTTATGTCCCTTTTCCTTACACCAAAAGCACCAAACAAATTTCTTAAAAGCAACAGGTCTGGGACCTCCTATATTATGATGTTGACCATTATCAGGTTTCCTATCAAGAATTCTATGAGCAACACTATGAGTGTTTTTCTTATTTTTCCAAGATTTTTTTTTACCAGAATGGGGTTTAGCATGAAAGGTTAGGAGTGCTAGATCACTTTTCTCCTTCTTGAGTTTCTCTTCTTCAGCTACACACTTGGTAATGAGGTTATTGATAGTCCACTTATCACCAAATGTATTATAAGCAGTTTTGATTTGAGTGAACTCAACAGGTAGGCAATTTAAGGCATGAGACACAATAAAATTCTCATTCAAGTCAATGTCATGGGATTTTAGTTTGGTTTGGACATGAACCATCTTAAGAATGAACTCTCTAACACCCCCATTGTTATCATATTTCATGTCCGTGAGTTGTTTCATTAAACATCCAGATTCAGCATTATCAGATACCTGAAATCTCTCTCTAATAGCAGTAAGATACTCTTTAGCATTCTCTTTTTCAGGAAACTCACTTATCATATGTTCAGAAATTGTTCTCTTCATAGCACACAAGCTAAGTCGATCACTTCTCTCCCACTTAGCTAATTTTTCTTTCTCTTCAGGTGTACTCTGATCATTGATCACAGGTTTGGTTTCACGCAATGCCATGTCAAAGTCAGCGATCCCTAACGAAAACTCTAAGTCTTTCTTCCATTTTTTTAAAATTAGACTCATTCAGGATCTCAATAGAAGCAGAACAATTGTTCATAGAGAAGGTCACTGATTAGACAAAATAGGAATGCATTAGAACAAATAATAAAGGCAAGATATAACTTTAATGAACATAAGCTATCACTAAGAGGCCAACATTATCACACAATCCCCTTTGGGTGGAATGCGTAAAACCCAGGTTAGAACCAAGGTCAGAACCTCAGATGAGTCGCTCAATGAGCATACATTGGGTTCGGAAATCTATCTCCTTTGGGTAGATAAATTCTCTAAACCAAAACACCTCCAACAACTTCATCTACAAATTTCAAGAATAAGCTACTCAATGAGCATACATTGAGTTTAGAAATTTATTTCCTTTGGGTAAATAAATCCCTTAGACCAAAGCATCTCCAATAGTTATATCCTTAATCAACCACAATCTTTACATACAATTATCCACCTTTGGGAAGACAATCACAGTAATGACTTAAAACCATTCCTCAAACTACAAAGAGACTTTTATAAATTAAAACAAGCGATCTTACTTTGCTGGTAATCACACACAATAATTTATAGAGTTTCTTGCATAGGAATTAAAAAAAAATTCTTGCCAAAATAAATCATGAACCAATCATGAATTTAAACTATATAATATTCCTAATAAATTTTGTCTTCAACAGTATCAATCTCAATATTATAGAGATATTATATAATATTTCAAATATTTAACAAAATAAATATTTTACAAATTTATATAAACTAATGTTTATTTAATAAATTTTCGAAGAGAAAATTATAATAATTTAACATTAGATTTATATATAATAATCCATTAGCAACAATGCATTGTAGTAAGAGAAAACAGCTCGTGAAATATTGCCGTAAAAAAAAATTAACTCGTAAAAGAAAAAAGAAAAAAAACCAATTGCACTGTAGTAACATGCTAATAAATGCATTGTGCAAATATATATACGGTATGGAAAAGGAAAACAAAATCAATTGAACAATAAATGCACTGCGCGTAACATGCCTTAAGTTGATGCATGGATTTATACACATTTACAGTATTGTAATTGAAAGAAAATAAGAATACACGAGATCAATAATTGTTAATGACTTTTAATTTTAATGGCTTTACAATTTCACGTAATGACTAACCATTATATTAAATCATAATTATATATTAAGAATAATCAATTGAGTCCTAATTCATATAATTTAAGCTCTGATACCAATTGTAAGCGGAAATATTCATGGATATTATATGAGATTAAAACATCAATACTTACTTGTTGAAGTCATGATTCGGAATTCTGAATGGATGAATGACCGGATCTTCCTCTATATCTCACACTCCCCCGTTCACAACTTTCAATGGGGAAAGTTATGGAGCCGTCAGTTATGTTTCTGATTCTTTTTGTGATTACAGAGGGGACCTAGCCACATAATATATATAACCCTAGTCCCTACCCATTATGGGCCCAAGGTTAAAGCCCACACTTTTACCCACACCAATCAGGTTTCAGATACTCAGCCATTAGATAAAATTGATCACTTAATTAATTAAAGGGCTTATATATGCACCCCCATCAGAATCACGATTAACCCGTTTTTCACAAACTAACCCACAATTGATTGTAGTCCATAAAAAGTTAGATAAATATAACATGTTTTTCCTTACACCTCACTAAACATATACAATCATTAAGATTGATGTAGAAGATAATAATTTGAAAAATTAAATTATTCTTGAAAAACAAATTAAAGGAACCACTGTTTTTCAAATTGCATTCATACCGTAATTCATCT